TCTTGGTCTTTGGGCCACATTTTCTGGTCGGCCACCACATCATTGACTTGTTTTCAGTGTGTAGACTTCTCCTACCCCTGGCTGACCAGTTTGCTTTTTGGGAGACCACTTCAAGTGGTCGGCAACTTTTCACCAGCTTCCTGGAGATATTTTCTCTCTAGCTGTCACAGCTGGAGGGCACAAAAACCATCCTCCATACACGTGGAGGGATGGGTTTGAGCCCTTAGCTTCCTCAACAAGCTTGAGGCTTGGTTCGCTATATAAGAGAACCTCCCCCCTCCTTCTCCAGGTTCAGATTTTTGTGGCTGGAGCTATAGATACATATTTGTCTCTATATTTCCTTGTTTGCTCTTGTTTTGTGCCTTAAAGTGTATATTCATCATACTATCACACACAAACACACACTTAAACACCATCCTTTTGTTGCTGAGGCTTCTTGAGGTTGGTTTTGGTGCTTTTGGACTGGTTTTGATCCAAGAAAGCTACTGGACTGGTATCCTTGAAAAGGTTCTACAAGGGTGAGTCAACTAACCCTTTAACCCTTTGTTTTGATTAAGCTTTTGAACCTATTTGCATGATGTTTTAGGCTTGACTTTCTACTGCAAAAAGTTTTGATTTTTAGTCCTTAACATGTTTGTTTAAGGTCTCTTTTGTGTTGGGGGTAGTCTACCCCCTCTTAGGCCTTGTTTTGAGCCATCCCTTTAGGCTCTTGTTTTAGTCTTTGCATGACCTTTCTACCATTGAATTCCAGAGGAATTTCAGTGGTGGAAATGGTGTTTTAAGGTCCCAAATAGGAGAGGATCATCCCCTCTCCTTGTGTTCTTGAATGCTTGCTTCATTTGCCTCATGTTTGAGCATGTTTGTTAAGCTTGTGTTGGCCACATCTCAACCTATTTTAGGCCTTATTTCAGCATGGCATACCACTGTTTTGACTTGGTTTTGTCACCTCATGCATGCCTTATACACTTGTAGTGTAATCTTCATAAACTAGCTTTGTATGCTTCATGAAGTAACATGTCATTCTAGCTTGTTTTGAGTCCATCTTAGCATGTTCTTGGTGTTGTTTGGCCATCATATACCTCTGTTAAGGTTTGGTTTGATAGCCCCGTGCATGCTCCATGCACTTGTAGTGCAATTCCATGAATTAGCCTAATGTGTATCATGCTTTTGACTGTTATTCTAACATGATTTTGGCTTAACTCTAAGAAGATTTTGTCCATGTTTTAACATGCTCTAGCTCTGATTTGTGTTGTTTTGGTCATGCATGCCATGCTTTGTATAGCTATAATGCATTCTAGCTTGTTAGCTTTGTGTATCAAGTCCACTAGCATGCATTGCTTGGCCTATTTGAATGATTTGGCATCATTTGTTATAAGATTTCAGTGCATGTTTCATGGTCATACACTCTCATCTTTCACTTATTGCATGCTTTGAAGGGTTGGTCCTTTATGCCTTAAACATGAGCCATTGTGTATGCCTTCATGCCTAAGCTTGCGAGCTATCATTTTAGTGTGTTTTTGGAGTTATTTTACCATAATATAACTCTGATTTTTGTTGGTGAAGCCATCCCATGCTTGGTCTTGGTAGGTGTATTGTAATCCTCCCTTTTGGCCTTGTATGCATCATGCCTTATGCCCTTTATGGTAGCTTGTTTTGGCATCCTTCCATGCGTGTTTTAGACTCATTTTGACATGTTCTATGACTGTTTTGGGTTGCCTTGACCATATGCTTCATGTTTTGCATAGTTGTAGAACAAATGTCTATGCTAGTTTCAAGCTTTGAGTACCATAGCATGCTTCATTTGTGTTGTGTACATGATTCAACATCATTTATCATGGTATTTCAGAGCATGTAGCATTGCCATGTTCCCACTTCATTCACTCTTGAGAACCGCACTCCCTTGAGCTTATGAAATGATAGGGAGAGTGGTTGTGCATACATATCTTGCAAATACATCGCCATGCCCTTTCTTGCTCTCTGTTGCAGCAAGCTGGAAGAGTGCAGCAACAACTGGTCGGCTGACCAGAAAAACTAGCTGGCCGACCACTTTTTATGGTCTGTAGCAAAGAAAAGTGGTCGGCAGGTGGTTGGCAACTCTAGAAAGTGGTCGGCCATGTTCCTGCAGGTTCCCATGGTGGAGTTGAAGCTTTGTGGAGCTTTGTGCAATGTTCTGAGAATAGTTGCAAACTGAGGCAAATTAGGGCATCGTGACGGATTTTCGAACGAGACGACCAGGCATGCATGCACTCCTCATCTCGAGGACCTCTCTTTTACTGCTTTCCTTAGCTAGTTTATGCTTTGATTCTGTATTTAAGTAGTTAATGCGTTTAGCTGCTTATTTGTTTTGTAATAGTTAGTTAACTAGGAATAGTTAATTAGCTTTGTTTGTAATAATTAGTTTAATTAGCTTAGATTAACTAGTTAGCTTCTTATTCGGACCCTCCGTCGAGAGGGCCAACTGTTGTAATAAGCGTGCATGTGTGTGATGCATGTCTTCCAACCCCCATTTCTTTCTCCATTTTACTTAACTGCTTACGATGGTTAGTTTTAGGGCATATTTTAATTAGCATACAGTATGATAGCAAGAACACATGTGCTTATAAAATAACATATCATGCTTAGTAGAGGCCGATCCTTTGATCGGGCGAGCGGGGATGCTCATTTCAAGACTGTCTCCTCTCGTACCCAAATGCCAGAGCCGAGACAACTTTGCTAATGGCGGACACGTGGCCTTTGTTACGAGTCAGGGTTTCCTAAATTTTTCAAAAATAAAACATTTAGGTGGCGACTCTGTATCTGGCAAAGCAGTCCATGTTTAACACTTCTTTATAAAAATCAGTTTTCTAAAACGATTTGTCGAATTTGGACTCTTTGGTGATTTATCGATCTTGTATTGCACTTTGCAAAATTAGATTCAGAAACCGTGACATTGAGTCCGAACTGTAGTAGCCTTAGAACAAAACGAAATTCGCGCCCCTGCGGCGCAGAGAGCGGGAGTTCTCCGAGGCGGTCCACATCAAGTTACTCCCAATGATTGTTATTTTAGAGTAGGTTTGTGTTTGGATGTGCTTGGGCCTTATGGGACCACCATGAGATTAGTTTCAATTATCTGAATAATTTATATTGTTGGATTTTAAGAGCAGATCTTCCACAAAAAATATATATATAGATTGATTGAATAATCATAACTATATAATTTTATTAAAATTATTTTCAAAAAAAATGAACGATTTATGTTTGGAAATTATTGATTTTTTAGTAAGGAGAAGAATGATAGGAAAATGTTTGGAACCTTGTTGAATTGGATGGTGGTTGAACAAGTATTGTTACGCCAAATTCAAAATTATGAATTTATATATGTTGCTTGAAATGTATATTTTGAATAGAGACATCTGTTTTGGGCTATCAGTGGAGGATAGCTTTGATTGTTGTAGAAATTACATGAGAATTAGATTAACTAAAATCATTCACTCATGCATTTCCATTTGAACATTGATTGTAATCATTTATACATTAAAACGTATTATTTTTTAGAAAATGAGTGAATATTGTGGCGAATCTAGTTAGGGGATGTGGTTGTGATTATTATCTATGTTGGCTTGTGTGTCATTAGTAAAAATCCAGAAACCTGTGTGGTTAGATGCCTATCCTTTTAGTTAGTACTAGTAAAATGGCTTTGATCGTGCTTGTATAGTCTACTAGCAGATACATATATGGAGATTGCCAATGTGTGTATCTACTGCCTTATTTTCTATATTGAAGTAAAAGTGATTATTGGATTCGTTTTTTTTTATTATTTTTTTTATTTTTATTTTTTTGTGAATGATCTATCTATAAAATTTGATAAAAATAAACAATTCAGATCCTCAAAATGAATCAATTATAGGCATTTTCCATATTTTAACACCACACATTATTTATGTTATCCAAATATAAACGTTGAGCCAAAAAATAAAATGTTCAGAAAAAATTATTTTGAACAAAAATAAATTATTTAAATATATATTTTATTCAATTATTTATGTCTAACAAATTATTTTTAGGGTAAATTACACTTACCTCCCCTAAGGTTTCTAACAAATACATGGACCTCCCATGTGACTTTAATAATTATAGTAACCTCTCCTATTTTACCTGACATTGTCAAGACTCTCACATTCTGTCTATTTTACACAAACAATGCTAGTAGCCTATATAAAATGACCATATTACCCTTACTTTTGCCTACGAAAAGACAAAAATGCCATTTATTCGCAAAATCCCTAATCAGCTACATTTTCAATACACATTGAATTCCTAAGAGAAAGAAGATAAAGAAAGAGACGACAATAAGCAATGTGAAGAAGGTTGATTTGTGTGAAGAAAACGAAGAAGCTAGAGATAGATAAAGGCAAAGAGAGAGAAAGACAAAAAGATAAAGAGTTGTTTTCTTTGTCTCTCTATATATTAATGTATACACAATCTTCTACTTCCATTTCTATGTAGATTTTCCTTTTCATTTCCTTTTCAATCTCTCATTTCTTAAATTTTCTTAGAAAATTTGCAATTTTCCCTGATCTTTACACTGCTCTGTTTTTAATTTCAGAACCCACTGTTCCCTAAAAACTTTACATAATACCCTTGTATATTGTAATTATATATACCTATGTTGTTATTGGGATCACAAAATTCTTACAAACATTTTGAATGTAGAACCGAAAGCCTGATTTCAGTTTCTCTTCACTGTTTTTTTGCCCCTATGTCTTCCAACATTTTCTTATCACTGGCCCTATTTGGTTGAGCTGTGAGAAAGTACTTATAACTTATAATTATGAACATAAGTTGATTTCTGACTTATAAATTAAACATCTCCCACCTCACTCAAAAAATAAGCTGATTTTTGACTTACAAAAAATTATAAATTGCATTGTTAAGTTAAACCAAACACATCAAAATAGCTTAAATTAAGTTAAAAGCTCAAATAAGAAGGTTTTAAGCTGCACCAAACAGGCTACTTTCTCAAGAAACTATAGATTATTGCAGTATTCAAGCAGGGAAAGCCAAGGCAATGATCAGGTACCACCGGCTCCGAAACGTTGCAAAAATGTGTCGAATCTTTGAATTTCTTGTCGCTTTCACGTTGTTGTCACGGTCGTCGACTTGATGAGGCTCACCAAAGGGCATTTTCGTTTTTTGTGAACAAAGGGCATTTTCTTGGCCAGAACCTTAACTTTGATGGGGGAATTAGCCAAAACCTCAACAATTAATGGTACAGTCAGCTCCCGGGCGATAGATTAAACCCTGTCCTGATCATTAACCAAGTCGAAAAGAGCAGTGGAGGCGGCTATTTGAGCATCAGGAGAGGCCCCTTCTTTCAACAACTTGAGCAAGGGTATAACTCTACCTTCTTCAACTATCATCTTCTTGTTACGATTGTTGTCTCAGGAAAGGGAGACCAGATTGTTGGCGGTGTCGTGGCGGTCGTGGAGGAGGCACTCCATTTGGACGGAGGCGATGGAGGACCAGAGCATGGCCAGGATGATGTTGTTGTTGGCGGTGGAGATGAGTCGGCTGACGTCGGCAATGGATGATTCGAGGAGACCGGAGACATTGCAAAAGTCGGCGCTAGTGGTGATGGCGAACACTTGCTGAAGAACGCTACTCTGCTAACACTTGTGAACTAGGGTTAGGGCTCGTTCTAAGGTTTTGGAGACGTCAGCAATGATGCGGCAAACGAGGCGTTCATAGAGAAACAACTGGGCAGTGGTCGTGGTTGTGGTCATGAGGTGGATAGTGAATCGGAGGTTGAGGGAGAGCAGATCCGTTTGCTTGGTGAGATCAGTGTAATCGGACTTGGAGGATTAAGCTTTTTTGGCAGATTTGATGAGGCGGTCGGCCAGTAGGACTAGGAGTGAAAGCTCTTATTGGATTGACTTCTCATCCTCTGTCATTTTTATCTTTTCGCATGTAAAAACAAGGGTAATATGGTTATTTTTAGTAGCCTATACAATTAGTAGCTGACTGTACAGGGTACTAACATCATTTGTGTAAAGCAGACGGAGGAATCTTGACGGAATGGACAGATTTTGACATTATTATTAGATTAAAAAAAAAAATTATTGTAATTATTAAAATTATAAAAACTGTATTTGTATTTATTAAAAATTTTAGGAGAGGTAACCTATATTTTCAAACAAACACACTGAATACTCCCGGTGGGGGTCGCACCCCAGTGACGTGGCGCGCCCTCACTAGCTAAAAACTTTTAAAAAAAAAAAAAAAAAAACACAATTTTTTTTTTGAACCAATCCAAGGCCGACACCTCACTGGGAAGCTTTTTTCATTTTCAAATTTTATAGTACTGCAAATAATGTGCTGTGACATTTGCGTAGCCTGGGTGAGAATAGAATTGCCCAAATAAAAGGCCAAAAATGGCCCCATCTTCTTCGTCTCTCTTCTCTAAGACGGCAATCTTTTTCCTGGAGTAGAGCAGATAGAGAGAGATTATATATATATATATATATATATATATTTCTGTGTGTGTGTGTGTGTGTATTTGTGATGATTTCATTTCAATTACTAATTCTTGCAAAATTTTGATCTTATTTTGGCAGTGTTTTTGTATTCAAATTGCAATCTGATAGTACGAATTTCTGTTTCATATTTTCTGATTTAAAGTGTTTTGTTTAGATCGATCAGTTGGGGGTTTAGATCAAATTAAAATTTTTAATTTTTTTCTGATTCATTGTTTGAGTCTACTGTGTTCCTCATATAGCTTTTTTGTGCTTTACACTTCTTTGACATTGTGATTGATAAAATAAATGCACATACATGGTGGAAATATGTGATTTTTGTTATTCATTGTTGGTTGTTGTGATAATTTGAACTAATTTGTCTATACAAACAAACAAAATTTACGAACTTGACATACAAAAAGTAAGCTTCATCCTATCATGTAATTTTTTAGTGGGTCTCGTTTCAAATAACAAAATTCATTACTTTATGCCATATCTGTCAGTAAAAAAGTTTGTGAAATTTGTATGTTTATACAGAATTTGCTACAAGAATGTTGTGGCGGTGGCATATTTGTAAATAAAAGCAATCTCCACATAATTTTGTATGAATTTTCTATTTGCATATCACGACTCAGTGGATAATACATGTTCTCAAGACTTCCATTGTTCAGTTGGGTTGAGTAAGACTTTTATTATTGATGTGAACATCTACTTTTATTTGTTTTAGTGGTAGGTAATTTTGGTCATGGTGGTTGTGGTCTGATTGATATTTAAACGGGTTGATGTGTCCACCACAGGCTTTAGTAGAAGTATACATTAAGCATTGGAATTGCATAGAAGTACGCAGCAACGAGATGGGATCTGAGGGGCCAAAGGGTGTGACCATCCATGTGACTGGATTCAAGAAATTCCAAGGGGTTGCTGAGAATCCTACTGAGACTATGGTTAGTAATTTAAAGACTTTTGTTGGAAAGAGAGGCTTGCTGGATGGTGTTACTCTTGGGAGCTGCACGGTTCTTGAGACTGCTGGAGATGGTGCACTTCCCATGCTGTACAAGATCATGGAATTGGGTGTCGCGAATGGGAATTCGAGCAATGGACAAGTCGTATGGGTTGGTTTAACTACCCGACTCTTTATAATTTTAGTAATTGATCTATGGAGGCAATTTGGTGAAATTGGTAATTATTTTCAAATTGAAAGAGTAAAGGTTTGTAATTATTTCCCAATGAAACTAATGATTAAAGGTTTGTTGTTTTGCCAAGCATTTCTCCAAAAAAACTGCAGCATACACTTATATTTTGCAGAATGTTGTAAGCATTTACTTGGATAAGATCAAGCCCATGAAGGAAATGTGACATCCAGAGTGACTGGAGTTGAAGGTGGTTTTGACTCATAAGTTTGTTGTGTCTGAGTCGCATTGGGTCAGTGGGAGAGACCCTTAATTATTATTGAAATATGATTTTAATGATTCTAGGGAAAGGTTTTCATTTCCATTCAGCATGCTGTTCATCTGTTATAAGTTGCCAAAACCATACAGAGACTGAAGCACATGCTGAAAGAGAAAGAGAGTATGTGATTAATGGGTGAATTAAACATGCTCTTAAGTTTTTGTAAAAATTATGTTGTAAATTGCTCAATTGTTTCTGCTTTCTAAGTGGGTTCTACATTTTTTTTCTTTCTTACTAAAAAAAAATGTGGTTTCTTTGTTCTTCTCATTTACATCTTTCCTTACCCAAAAAATTTTCATTCTTGCTTTCTCATTTACATGTTTCTACATCCTCACATGAGAACTTATTTTTCATCTCATAATTTTGCACACATTTATCTTCAATGTATGCGTATTAATGCATTGATGGGTTGAGCACAGCACTGCAATTGGAGCAATCTAATAATCTTCAGGAGTGACTGTCCCAATGAGAATGAAAAGGAATTGAACAAAATTCAATCGTTACTTCTGAAACTAATGCTATAAGAATGCAAACTAACCATAATGACAATAGGATGTGTACTTTGTTTAGACTTATTAGGTTTAGAAAAGGATGTCAGTTGTTACCCAGTGTTAGTCCTGGTTGATCAAGGGTGCTGGGAAGAGTAAAATTAGGTATAGACTTAAGCTTTGCACTGTTGTGCAATGTGCTCTCAGACAAACTTGAGCTTTTATCATTATACCAAACAATGCCCCTAATCACAGGGTAAATGCTAATCACTCTCCTGTATTTGCGCATGCTTATCGCTGCTACTGGTGATAAGAGACCACTTATTGTCATCTAACATAGTACAATAAATGTCTCATTCATGCTGCTTAGGCATACTATGCAGTTGAGAATTTGCAATAAAGTCATATTAGGGTGCATATATCCATATGATATTACAGTACAGTTGGTGAATGATATTGTGAAGTTACAAGCCTATTAAACCCTTGTGCTATGTTGGTTCACTGGAATAAAAGTGGAATGTAATGGAATGCTTATTCCTTAGTATCTCTTCAGAATGACCATTCACTTACAATGATGAATGATGATTTCATTTGTAATGTATTTTTTATTATTTTTTTAGTGAAACAAATTTGAGAATGAACATTCTAATGGATTGATTGTTTCATTCCATCTTCATTCCAATGAACCAAACAGTACCTTAGTGATTCAATGTTTTATCAATTAGTCTTTGGTAACTTAAAAACCTTTACATTCATTGCCTTTTTTTAGCTTCACTTCGGGGTCAATAACGGGGCAGTAAAATTTGCAATTGAGCGGCAGGCAGTAAATGAAGCCACTTTTTGTTGTCCAGACGAGTTTGGATGGCAACCTCAGGTGTATAAACTTTTTTCTTGTACTTGCATTTCTCATTTGAAGTTAAATAAACTTCCAAAGTCATGCTAAAGTCTATTTTATTTTTGCAGCAATGTCCAATAGTCCATGAAGATGGAGAAACTTCCCGAGCAAGAGAGGTAATTCACACTCTCCTCTTTTTGTGATTTGGCATGATATTGTCAATCCCTTTGACAAACCCTTGAAGTTACCAACGGCAAATATTAGATTAAACACATGATCTCTGCCATCAATGTAATTTCAGTCTCATATCAATACTCCGTAGAGGAATATCAATGATTTGCACTTTCGCTCCAAATTGAGCCTTTACAAGATTCTTGGAATATAATCAACAGTATCTGTGACGGTAGCTAATGTTTTAAATTTCCAATTGAATACCACTACATGTGCCTTGAAAAACATATAAAACAGGTATCTGAAGTTTTTTAACGGGGGCTTCACTCCATGTGCATTTTGATTGATTAAAAGCAGCAAATTTACTTGGACTGTTTGGAATTTGGATAGACCAGATTTTATTCAGACGAATATGGGTTCATTTTTATTTTCTTAACTTCATAATTGATAGGTCCACAGTGGGTTTCTTTAATTTTGGCATTCACCATTATCCTTGATAGTTGGCTAGTGTAGAACCTGAATAATGCCTTTAGGATTTGTTTATGTGGGAAGAGAATCTCTGTAATAAATACATGCTAAGAAAATGCTGAATCAAATGGAGGAAATAATAGCCAGAGTTGAACCTGAATTGCAACGAGGTGGTAGTGGTGTAGTGGGTTAGGTTTAGTGGGTGAAGTAGGTGATAGGTTTTAACATAATGCCTTTAGGATTTGTTTATGTGGGAAGAGAATCTCTGTAATAAATACATGCTAAGAAAATGCTGAATCAAATGGAGGAAATAATAGCCAGAGTTGAACCTGAATTGCAACAACCATTCTGGTATTGACCTTGTCCATGACTCATATTGTCATTCCATGAAACTTTGGGAGAGTTACTGAGCAAAAAATAAATCAATTTAGCAAGTGTATGAGAGATATTTAATTTCATTGAAGGGACAATGGAAGCTATTTTGTGCCTTCAGCAAGTGATGAAAATGTTTTTGAGAGGAGATATGAGCCACTGATTTAGGGGATAAAATTTGGCCCAGTAACGTTGAGGCTGTGGGTTCGAATATGAGGGCATCCAGTTTGTCCAAAATAGTCAAAGGGTAGGTCTGTACCTACTCCACCCCTCCCAGGCCACTATATTCGGCATATGAAAGGATTTCTAGAGTAATAATGCTTTTAAGGTATTGGAGCTGTTGTATCCCGGCAGAAATACTTAACTAAACCAAGGACATGTCACATAATGCATAGCAAACATGGTTAAGGACATGTACCCTGAAACCAAGATTGGGATAGAATTGTAGAACCGTCAGCTTTGGCCAATCATGTGTCTATAAGGAACTTACAAATGAGTAAGTATCCCTATGGGGAGTTTTTCTGTACAAAGATGATTTGTTAGAATGGTCTTAGCTACCTGATGGGATATTCTGTATATGTATTATCTAGGACTTAAAGTCCAATGGGTCAATGCTTTTATTTTTGTTATTGTTATTACTAATGTAGGTTATGCCATTTTACAAAGCGCTATCATCATTATTATAATGGTGATTATTATGCATTGGTTATCTATTTCCCTCTCTTCAGTGCCCCCATCTCCCTCCTAACTTTTCAGTCATTTTTTGTTGAAGACTTCTTGCCCTGTTGAGGCAATCCTGCAGTTCTTGAAGAAAAAGGGCTTTGATGCAACAATATCCGATGATGCAGGCCGTTTTGTATGTAATTATGTCTACTATCATTCTCTCCGGTTTGCAGAACAGAGAGGTCACAAATCTCTCTTTGTTCATGTTCCTCTCTTTTCTAGGATCGACGAAGCAACCCAAATGCAGTTTGCAGCAACCCTTGTGGAAGCTATTGCATCAACATGTTGATATAATTAATTTGGAAGTTTGAGCTTAAAATTCCGGGTTTGTTTTGTCTTCAGGTCTGTTATATGCTTCATGTATATCCATCCTGTTATATATAATAAAATAATGAGCCCTTTTGAACAGTGGATTGTTGTTTGTTGGTTGTTAATTGAGTAAAAATGAAGTTCTTGATTTTAAGAGTCATCAATGTTTCCTTTGGTTGTGCATGATATTGCTAGTTTCTTAAACAAATTCCTTTTGATTTTTTTTATTATTATCTATTTTTAAAACAAGTTTACAGACACATAATTAACAACATAAAATAGTTCTGGTCATACATATCATACGGTGGAGATTGCTTCATTTTATGTGGTTGATTCTGTGTCGTCCAAGGACTTATTGGGAAATTGGATATCAGCTATGGAGACATCTTACTTCCTCAGTGTCCATGTTGTAGTTTGCTTTGATGAAGCCGATGGCCCAGTCATGGAGAGGTGATGTTGGGCTGGCCCCATTTTTAGGTCCACGTTAGTGACGTGAACTATTAATCTTGTAGGACATGCTAAGTAGACTATAAAAAAATTGAAGAATACATTAAAAAGTAATATTTGTGAAAAAAAAATTAAAAAATATATTAAATATCAAAAAAAATTAAAAATTTAATATATTTTTTTTGTATTTTTGTGTATTTATTAATTTTTTAAAATATTTTTTTATAAATATTTTACTATTTAGATATATTTAAATCTGCACCTTAAAAAAGTAAAAAAATAAAATTAAAATTAAAAAAATATTCATTAAAAATAAAAAAAAATGTGAAAAATAAAAAACTCGTTTTTCAAAAAAAAACTTCAGAAAACAGAAATAAAACACATTGAATAGTTTTATAATTAGATTATATTTATTTTTTTAAATATATTAATCTTTTAAAAAAATAAAGTAAAAGATTACACTGTCGGATCACGTTACCTACCAAAAACAAAAAACAAAAAAAAAAGTGAAAAAAAGAAAAAGAAAAAGAAAAACTCTATGATCGGATTATGACAAGTATAATTTAGGGGTTGTTTGGGATGTCCTAAATAAGTTCATTTTTTACCTTTCTAAATTAAAAAGGTGAGAAAAAAAAGATAGATGTTTGAGTTAATTTTTTGACTTTTTACGAAAAAATGTGTATTAAAAAATTGTATAAATAAGTGTATAGGAGAAGTTAGTGAAGTAGCCCGTACAGTTTGAGCAGTGTAGTGGGCTGGTTAGGAGATAGGAAATGATTGCCTCCTTTTTCGGGCTTGAATTTGACGGTGTTGTTTGGCCCGTGATGGCCCACCACGGGTCCCGTTTTGCTAATCGAAACCGTTCAATGTGTAGAAATCGTCGAGTACTATATACTTGTAAAAAATCAAGTTAATTGGATATCAATAACTATCTGATCGTGTTAGTTTTTTTGTGAACTGTTAACTATAATACCATCCATTTTTTATACAAAACTGATTTGATCATGTAGTTAGCGATATCCGATCAATGTGATTTTTTATAAACATATAGTACTGGACCAGTTCTACATAGTCATCGGTTCGAATTATCAAAACGGGACCCGTGGTGGGCCCCATAGGCCCAACATTACCATCGAACTTAGGGGTGGCTTAGGATGATCTAAATAAGTGCACTTTTTGAATTTTTATGAAATATGGGTTGGGTATAGATTGGGTTTGAATTGATGTAGTAAAGAGGTGATGTGACTTAAATAAGATAGTAATTTTTTGACTTTTTTAAGACACCGGAAATGAGGCTTTAGAGAATGAGATGTCTAATTTTTATTTTATTTTTTTGCAATAAATGTGAGCTCATTATGTACCTATTATTTAATAAATTTTACAAGATGAACGACGTGAATAATCAAATGGATCCTGAGATGGGTTCACCAAAGCTAAATAACAACTGAAGAGAGTGTTTGATAATATGATTCAGCATTTAAAATTAAATTGATAAGTGATAATTAATTAAGTTCGTTTGATAATTGTAATTGATATCACTTAAACATTTAAGTCTATTTTAAAATGTAAGTTACAATTTAAGAAAATTTTAAATCACATAAAATTTATTTAATTCTGATTGAGTTTATAAATATTAAATATAAATATCGATACTATTATAAACTCACTACTATAACCATCACCACCACCACCATTATCAATACCGCTGTCACTATCACCACCACTATGGCACCATTATCATTACCATTACCATTACCATTAACATCATCGTCACTGTCAGTGTCACTATCACAACCACCACCGCCAGTTTCATCACCATTGTCATTATTACCCTAAACATTACCATCATTTTAGTATTACTACTACCACCACCACCATGCCACTCCACCACCACAACCACCACCACCACTACCACTTTCATCGTCACAACATAAAAATTAAAATATACAATTTAAAAATAATAAATTTTAAATTTTATATTACACATATCAAACAACTTATTTTTAATTCATCGGTTCAACTTAGTGAATATATATAAGTAATTTTTTTTTGTTCATTTTACAGTACTTTCCCATCAATTCAAGTTTGGAACAATGTAAAGTTGGTTTGTATTAAAATATTATGTATATTAATTTTTATATTTTTAATTTGTGAATAGTGATAAATTTTTTGTTTTTTTTTAACTTTTTGAATTTTTTCTAGCATCCCAAACCAGGCCTTAATTTTTTATTTTTAATTTTCAATTTACAGTTTTTAATTTTATCAGACACGGCATAAATTTCCAACCGAAAAGAATTCATTTCCTTATTTTTATCAACTAATCTGACTCTAAAAAATTTGATCTAACTTTTAGATCGGAATAGTAATACGCATTTCTTCCATAATATTTTCTAGTTGATATATGCCAAATTTCAAAATTTTCCCACAGAGCTCATGAACAATGCAAAGCACAAAATTAACATCAATTGGCCGATCCATGACAATCTTTACACGCAAATACATACCTATCATGACTTCACCAACTGCTACACTGCCAATGAACTCGTACT